AAAAAAAAAACACACATCTTTTTATCTTTTCCCAATTAGGTACTGATGGTATTAGCAAAACTGTCCCCATTGTTTTGATTATATTTGTAGGCGTTTCTCTGTTTTGTTTGTTTCCATACTTTTTATTTGTCCTTTTAGCCTTCCATAGAGATAAATAGATAGATAGATAGATAGAGAGAGAGATCGCACAAATGACGAGTTTCATTGTTCATATTTTTAGCCAACTTTCCTTAGCAATACGTCAATGTGAATAGTATTTTTTTCTTTTTGGTAATATTCAAGTATATATATATATATATATATATATATATATATAATTTCTTAATGTTTGTCAAATAATACTTTTCTCCTCTTTAGACCCCACCCCCACCCCAGCACCCTTTCTTTCCCGTTCTTCTGTTTTTTTTTTTTTTTTCCTCCTCCCACAGATTTTTTTATCGTTAACCCCTCTGGTAATCACAATATTACTTTCATGGTTCTCTTCGCAAGAATACAAGGAAAAAAAAGAAAAGAAAAAAGAAAAAAAAAAACTGTTGCAAATTAAATCTCTGTTATATTCTTCACCTCCCCACCTTTTTTTTTTCTTCATGTTTATTGCCCAATCCCCCCACGAACACCCACCCACACCCTAAAAGAAAGAAAGAAAGAAAGAAAGAAAAGAAAAGAAAAAGTAAAAAAAAAAAAGAAAAAAAAAAAAGAATTAAATAAGATCAGAACGGGAACCAAAGTTGCTTTCACTCTCCAATCGCTTATTCATTTCCTGCACAGATGTCCACGCATCCGCATCGCTCTCTGTGGAGGAGTCTGCGCTCTCATCTTCCTCCCCACTGCCAGCCTGGTCACCAAATACAAAATCCTTGTTAATATTGTCACCATGACCAGTATTGATATTACCCATACAATCACTATTATTATTATCATCATCATTATCATTATCATCATCGTTATCATTATTATCATCGTAGTCGCTACTAGCGCTACTACACGAGCCATCTTCATCAACTCCAGAATCAATCGCAGCGTACTGTTTTAATGTCTGCGCCAGTTTAACATGTCGTGCAAGTCGTTCATTCCGAGTACTTGCATCTGTTAATTGTAAGAGTTTGTGAGTGAGTAATTCCTTCGCCCCTGGACGCACATCCGGATCTGCATTTAAACAACTTGCAATAAATGAATACAAAAGTGGATTTCCATTTGCAATAGGTGATAAATCTGGAATATCCGTCAGTCTTCCCACATAAAAGAATATACCCATACCACGTGTATGCTCCAAATATGAAAAGGGAGCCATACCAGTTGCCAACTCCAATGCAATACAACCCAATGACCAAATATCAGCTTTTTGATTATATCCATTCCCTTGAGTGGCATCCACATTCATTAACTCTGGTGCCATAAATTGAGGTGTTCCCACAAAGGTGTATAATTTATTAGATGGATGTCGTAAACGTTTGGCAGTTCCAAAATCCCCAATTTTAGTTCGACCATGATGATCAATAAGAGCATTCGCTGTTTTAATATCCCCATGTACATAATTCTCTGAATGAAGATAAGCAAGACCTCGACAAAGATCTTGTAAATGTTGTACAATAGAATCCAATGGTAAGGGTCCACCATGTCTTCTTATTTTCTCCTGTAAAGTCCCACCAGAGGCCAATTCCATATATAAACGTAACACATTATCACTTTCCTTTTGACAACCAAAGTAATGAATAATATTCTCATGCCTTAATGATGTCATTGCCAATAATTCCTGAACCACATCATCTGCCAATACCCCATCGGTTAAATGCATACGTTTCATCGCCAATTTCCCTCCCGTGAGAACATCCTCCACTTCATGAACTTCACCAAATGCCCCTTTTCCAAGTATACGACCCACCTTATGTCGTTCCGGTTGAAATTCCGTAAAGGCCATTCGAAGAAGAGCAATTTGTTCCTCATCTTCACGTAATAAAGCCACCACGTGTTCGGCTTCTTGCATAGCGAAGTGCAGTAAAGCCCCATAGGCGGGTTTTGGAAGTTCCACAACATGACAGTGTTCCATAAATTTCTGTGCTCGCCAGTCATTAAAGTCATTTGTGTAGAGAACCACCACAATATTCGCCTCACGTTGAAGGGCATCAAATGGAGGTGTTCCATTTCGTAAGGCTTCACTATCTTCTTCTGAACATTCCAATTGTAAAGGATCAATTACAAGAATATGAACACCACCACCTTTTATTTTCATCATGGCTTCCACAAAAGAAGTAACAGGGGCCACAACATGTCGTCTTGACCACATAAGTTCACAAAGAGCATTACGTTGTTTAGAATCTCGATCCGCAACAATGACAGTAAGACTACCATCATGAAATGTCACATCATTCTCATCTTCATTCTCATCATTTCCAACCCATGGTACAGGTAAAAGTGGTAAATCCACAACAATTTTAGTAGTCGTTTGAGAAGAGGCAAGTGAACTGTGAAAAGTCAAATTACCACCCATATTGGTTACAAGTCTATCACATTCTTTAATTCCTGAAAATCCTTTTGTACTATGTTTAGCAGGTGTCTCATTATTATTATTATTAGTAGAGGTATTAGGAGTAGTAGTAGTGGTATTAGTACTCTTATTGACAGTAGATGTAGATTCACTTCCTGCAGTACATGTTAAAGTGATATTTATATGCTGCATAACAGATGGAGCAGAACTATCAATAACTTGATGATGTTGAGCTGCATTACACAACCATACACTCTCCCTAACGAGAGGCGTACTCACAGCAGTTTGTCCTCCATTACTTCCAAGTACGGCTGTAAATTGTGAAAGGGCTAACATTTGAGCAGTACCAGGAGGAGGAATAATACTAGCACGTCGTCTCATATCAATAACTGTTGGTTTATTATTAACCGCTGTGGAAGTTAATGGTGTAGCCTGAACCACAGAAACTGTAATGGAAATATTAACAGGTGAACCACTCGTATTTGCATCACAGACTAATCGTCTTAATACTTCCAAAACGTTATCCACATCAATAAAAAACTCATTTTTCGGAACATCTTCCAATACAGTGGTTTGAAGAGTATTTCCTGCATTCTTTACCTGTTGAGCCATATCCCGTGAGAATTGCCGTACAAGATTATGAATACGAACCGGTTTCCACGTCTCATTCATCGCCTCCATGTTAAGACTTGAGAGTCGCAAGTATCGTTCCACCAGAGAATTACATGCCTGTACATGTCCACATAACCATTTCCCTTCCTGTTCGGTTACATTCCATTCACGCGCATCAAATGCCTCCACACGTCTTTGAAATAAACGTAATTGTGGACGAAGAACATCATTAATCCAGCGAGAGGCATCTTCCATAAAACTGGCAGCAGTTTTACTATCCGACTCTCGACCAACAAGAAGCATCACATCTGCAGAAGTTCCCACACAAGATGGAATCACACTTAAGAGAAGACTTACATGATAAAGGGCAGAGGCTTGACGGAAACGGTACACCACTGGAGAAGAAAAACCAGCCGCATGATAACCATCCCAATTTCCAACGAAATTATGCGCTTGTTGGAGGTTTTCTCGCATATTACATCGTGCTGTTTCTGTAGAGAGAAGTTCATAAATACTCTGACCAAGTACATGATAATGACGAAATCCTGTAACTCGATCGGCCGCAGCATTCCATCGAATAATAGTACCATCAGCAACCACGGCAATCATAATGGTATTCACAACATTCATAGCACATAATGGAAATCGGTAAACATTATTTTTTCCAGCATATACAATCTCACCTGCTGAACGTAATTGTTTTTTACCCATTCGAGATGCTATTTTCACCGCTACCGAATCTCGTTTAGAGCCACTTGGAGTTGAGGATTCCGTGGTACTAGAATTTCGTTTCTCTAGTAATATGGCAGCAGAAGCTCTTTTTCGCCTTTCACTTGAACGTTTCTTAATTTCTTCAATCTCGCAAGATACTTTTTCCCTTGCTAGTGGTGCAAGTAAAGAGGAAATAGGGCTATTAGATACCGTTCGCTTCATTTCATTCATCGCCTGTTGAGAAACAATGGCTTGAAAGTAAACAAAATGTAATTGAGCAATCAATACATTCGTTACAGCCACAGCATCTGTAAGAGCATCGGAGTGAAAGAGAAATTCAACTTCTCCAATTATATCTCCTGATGTGATTTCCAATAGCTCATTTTTAATATTAGGAGTAATATCATAGGAATCACTTAAATTACAACTTTCTTTTAAATCAGTTTCATCCCTTATAATACGCCTTATCGTTCCACTTATTACCAATGAAAACCATTCAAGTGAATTTCCCCGTTGTAAAATAGTAGTTCCTGCCTTTACATTTCGTACATGTAAAGAATCTGCTAAACGTTTACGTTCTGATGAACTTAATGGGGAAAGTATACGTGAGCAATTTAAAAATTTTAAAAACATTGAACGTCTTGCCTTTTTTTCATCATTTATTAATGATTGAAATACATTTTTTCGAGTAGAGAGAATAACTCCCCCTGAAAGGGCTCGAATATCAACAGGCCCTCCAAATTCATCATCATCTGGAGTCATTTCTACTTTCCCATAGAAATCACCTGCTGATAAGAGTCGTAATACACGTCCTTCCTTCTCCACTTGAACGGTACCGGAGCAAACAAAGAAAAGAGCACCGCTGTTCTTTCGAACTTGAGAAGATTGGAACTCAACCCGTTCCATACTTCGTATGAAGCTTTCCAATTGAGTTTCATCCAGTCCAGAAAATGGTTTATACGCGACAAAGGCCTCTCGTACGGCATTTAATTCCTCTTCCGTAGCATATTCTGTGGTATTAGCGAAGGCTTTAAAACTTTTATCGCCGAGACCAAAATGTGTTGTTAATGGTGTTTTACAAATAGATTGACCCCATGTGGAATTTGAGCGTGGAGTTGCAGAAGCCGACTGTGTCTGTATTCCACTGTCTTCTCTGTTACTGCTGTAAAATGTGAGGGGACGTGCGGACTCTGCGAGATTGAGATCTGCTGTGTGGATGGTGAGACCGGTCGTGTTTGTTTTGGCGGTAATGGCGGATTGCAGCATCGCATCAAATCCATCGCGGCCAATCAAATCCCGTCCGACGATACTTGCGGTTAAGGCGTCGTTCACAACATCCTGCACTTGTGCTGGTGTGGCGAGTGGAGTGGCGCCGGCGGCAATGAGGGCATCAAAACTGCGGGCACTAATAGAGGAACGGCCCGGTGCCTCACTTGCGGTTAAACCATTACTTTCGCGAATAAAATTAGCGCCCAATGATGTTTCAAGTTGTTTCACGAAAGCGTTTGGTAATGATGTGGAGAGACGGCGCATGGCCAATACTCCACCAGTCGTCTTGCGACGCCGACGTCCTTTTCTGTTGCTACTAGCCTTACTCTTAATTTCATTATGATCCCCATTATCATTATCATTATTATTATTATTACTGCTGCTGGTGCTGTCGCCATCGCTGTCGGTGCTGCTGTCCTCGGCTTGAACGAGTCCCTCCAGCAAAGTGAGGGCCATGTTGTATTTGGCCTGTGGAAGTCGCGCCACTACATCCAGCAGCGGCCGCACGGCGGCGGTGGTCGGAAGTTTCAATAAAAACGTTTCAAGTGGTGTTTCATTGGAACTTCCACGTGTTTTTAGTGAACAGTCAAACATTCCCGCCTCGCGGCTGCGCTGTGAATGATCCCACACATTCATATTTAATGCCGGTGGAGTTCCGGTGGTTCTGTTCACATGTGTGGAAGTCACCACAGTGGCGGTGGGTGTTTGATGGTGATAGGAGTAGGAAGCACTATGCGGTGTCTCTGCAGACTTCACGGCGGGGGCATTATTGTCCAAGAGAAGATCCCGCACAGGCGCAAATACCGCAAGTTCTGGTGGTTCCTCACCGTCATCGTATTCTGTCATCTCCACATCACCACCCACCGCATTACTATTACTATTAGTAGTAGTAACAGCAACAGCAGCATTAGTATCAGTAGTAATAGTAGTAATGTCTGTATTTGTAGGAATAGCAATAGCAGCAGCATTAGTATTAGTAGTAGTATGAGTAGTAGCAATAGTAGTAGTGTTAGTAGTAGCAGTGTTAGGGGTATTCAGATAATTTCCATCACTGGCGTTCTTAATAGATTGTGACTGTGGTTTCATTGCAGAGTCCAGTGGTGTATTCACCGCTCCTCCTTCCGCCACGTTTGTGAGCCACTGCAGCATGAAGGCAACGTGATTGGCGGGTTTCTGTTCGTTGAGTTCACGTGTGAGTTGAGTCATGATATCCGTAATGCCGTGCTGCTGCAAGTAATCATGATCGCCCGCTGCCAACATGTGCGGTGTTGTTGTTGGTGGTTTTGGTGGTGGTGATGCCCCTTCCATTTGGCCGCCGTTAGAGCGTCAAGGATAGAAAAAAAAAAAAAAAATGGGATAAATGGGGGGGCAATTGTATACGCAAATAGAAAAAAAAAAAATTATTAAAAAGTAAAAATAAAAATAAATGTATATGTATATATGTATTTTTTCTTTGTTTGTTTGTTTAATTGAAGTTTGTAGGAATGTGTGTGTGTGTGTTTGTATATATATATATATATATATATATATATATATACAGTAGGAATAGAGAGAAAGAAATAATAAGAAAAAGAGTATCAGTCAGCACCACCTCCGCTGATTGACTCTTCCCCTTCCTCTTTTCACTATAGAGTTGTGGTCAATTTAAAAATAGAGAAGAAAATAAGAAAAGAAAAGAAAAGAGAAGAAAAAGAAAGAAAAAAGAAAAGGATATAAAGTAAAGAAACAGAAAAAGAAAGAAAAACAATAACAAGACATTTAGAGAGAAATTTTCCTTTTCTTTCTCTCCCCATCTCAGTTTACTTACTGTATTCGATTGGGTTCCATCTCATTAGTACACAGACCCTCTACTCTTCTCTCTCTTCTTTTCTTCTTTCATTGTTTAATAGAATTTAACAAATTAATCACAATTCGTTTTTTTTTTTTTTTTTGCTTTTGTTTTCATTCGTTCGCTTTCGTCTTCTTACAAGAAATTAACAATAATAATAAATTTTAGGTTTTTTTTCTTTTTTTTTTTTGGATTATGAATTTGAATTGCTTTTCAAACGTTTTTTTTCCAAGTAGTTTTGATCATATTTAAACTATAAACAAAGAATCACCAATAAAAGAGTAAAAAAAAAAAAAAAAAAGAACCACCACCACTGCCTCCTCCAAAGAGTGGAATATATATATATATATATATATATGAGAAAAACAAAAAAGAAACAAGAAAGATATCGTTTTTTATTTTTGTGTAAAACTATTAGAAGCAATTTTCCTTATTGCTGTTTACTGTTAGAATATATATATATATATATACTCATATTCATTTTCTTAAATTCGCTTACGCAGATGCACCATAACACCAACATAAATACATACATTACATTACATGGATAGCTATATCTCTATATCTATACATATATATATATATATATATCCATATATAGATAGATAGATCAATAGATCGATAGAGATACGGTTGTCTTTGTATGTACACACTCATCCAATACAATGCAGTGGACCAGCAACACCAGCAATGTAAAATATGTAAAAGGCGAATATAAATAACAAAGTGAGAAAAGAAAAAAAAAAACAACAATATATTATTAATAAAGATATTTGGTGTGTATAAAAAAAAAGTTATTTATGAGTGTCTAAAACCCTCACCAGCATCAGTAAACGTAGTGATGGGAACACACACATCACACATCACACAACAACTAGATGCCAAATAAACAA